CCCTAAACCCTAAACCCTATGCTCCGGAGGTCTCCGTTCTTGTTGCCAAGCTTTTGCCTCTGGTGCCATGGTCTGGGCCGTGGTGATGTTCAGCTCAACTTCTTTCGGGTTTAGGGTTTAGGGTTGGTATCTGCTTTAGCATTGCCAGGAACTGGCAATGCAATGTCTAGTACGACTTCAGAAGGTGGCTACTGTACACTTGCTAGTAGAACTCTCTACACCTCTACACCTCCCGCTGCCTATGCATTTGGCTTTTAATTGCCTGACCGACTTAGGTCTTTGAGAGGCTTGCGGACGAATTCTTCAGATTGCTCTTGGGTTCGGCCCTACCCCCGAAACCCGACATAATTCAGTTCTTATCAACCCCAAGAACCCTAAACCCTAAACCCTAAAACCCTGAAATCGTATAAACCCAACTTCCCTACCAGGAACCTCCAGGAACTTGCTCCCTTCCGGCCTCCCTATAGTACAACTCAAGTCTACGGCTTGAGGATCTTCAGGCTTGGGGTTCAGGGCTCCGGGCTCAGGGGCCCAGGGCTTTCGGCTTAGGGTTTAGGGGTTTAGGGGCTTAGGGGCTTAGGGTTTAGGGTTTAGGGCTTCGAGCGCAACTTGGGTTCTGTTTGCCAAGGCGCATGTCGGCCGCACCCGCTACGTCGAGATCATCCTGGAGGTTAAGGGTTTAGGGTTTAGCGACCCCCCCAAGTAACCAAGGCCCGCCCATACTACCGAGAACCAAAGTTTTTTGTTTTTTTTTTTTTTGGGGGGGGGCCCTTTTCCAACTGCCGAGAACCAAAGCTTATAGGGTTTAGGGCTTAATCGCCCTGAGCCTCCCAAAACCAAATACGTAGGTGAATGGGACGCTGGTAAGTGGAAGTAGTGGGTTGTGCTACAATACTTCTACTTCTACCAGAGTTGCATAACGATAGTGATTCACTGACATGCGTAACATGAACCATTCGGTGCTATCCCCAAACCCTGAACTCTTCAAAACCGTAAACCCTAAACCCTAAAACCCTAAACCCTCAACACCCTAAACCTTAAACCCTGAACCTTAAACCCTAAACCATAAATTAAACCCACTAAACCCTAAACCCTAAACCTTAAATTTTCAAACCCACTAAACCCTAAACCTGAAACCCTACACCCTGGACCAAAACCCCGAACAAACAGAGACCTCGAGCACCTCCTAACCTTTTGCCATGAGTCAGCAGGCTAAGATGAAGCCCTTCCCCGGTTCCCTTTGTGGGAGCTTTAAGGGTTTAGGGTTTTAGGGTTTAGGGTTTAGGGTTTAGGGTTTAGGGGGTTAGGTAGTTAGGGGTTTGGGGTTGAAGCTATACAAACGCACATCGCGAACAGGTGCAAACCAGCAGTTTCCATCCCATGCAACAGTCCTTTCCTTTCAAGAGAGCCATAAGTAGGGTTAAGAGGGTCCCTTTAAGGGTCTCCCAAACACGACCTAGGACTTTGTTAGTGTGAGGGAGAATAGAGTCTATGCTGAGTTTTAGAGGAGTCTGCATGTAAATAATGGGGTTTGGGTGCATTTCATTTTTCCTCAAAATATGGGAAACATGTCGGGAGGAACTCCAATGAATGATATTACTGACTGTTCAAGCCCCCATATCAGGAAATGGGCGTCGAGGGTTGGCGGTAATTTTGAGGCTGCAGGTATTCTAACTTGGTCATGAGCCTAGCGCGGCTAAGGGTTTACAGGGTCTAGGCTGTAACGAGTTTGGGCCCTAAGCCCTAAACCCTAAACCCCTATTTTGGAGGAGTTTGGGCCTGCAGGCAATCAGAAGCATCTCAGCTCCGCATCTGCAACCATGGCACTTAAACGCTAAGACCTGCACTATATATAGGCCTTTCTCAAAGCTTAGGGTTTATGGTTTAGGGTTTAGCCTTTCTCAAGGCTTACCTATACTATAGTCTCCAGTATAGTCCCTTCTGGCTTAGCCAAGTTTGTACTTAGGATCCTAGAGTCCGAGAGGGTAACCCAAAAGAGAAACTACAAGGGAGACTACTGGAAGATCGCAAGACCAACGTCAAGCCCGGAATCAAAGCAACACTCTGACTCGAAGAGCCCTGGCAACTCAGGCGCACGCCACAGCATCACACGTCTCCTCAATGGAAAGGCCTGTTCGGCTAAAAGCAGCATCGCGACTAAGCAACACAAGCACCCCACCCTGCATCCCAACCTAAGCCCTAAACCCTGAACCCTAAACCCAACCACCTTCCAGGCATGCAGCCCGAAACCAAAACCCTAAACCCAAAATCCCTAGACCCCCGGATCAGAATCATTTAATTGGGCCCAATACAAATTAGCCTCTCCCTATCAGACTTAGTATATACCTTGGACCCACAGTACCTATATTGGAAACCCTGTAGGGCCTTTATCGCTTAAGTATACACGACATGGGTACGTGGACCCTTTGGGTCTTGATTATGGACCACATAAATCCTGAAGAATTCGAGCTTCCTACCTTATAAACCTGGGCTTGGGGTTTAGGATGGACCATATAAATCTAGGCTCGAGGCTTTAAAGTTTAGGGCTTCGGGTTTAGGGGTTTAGGGTTTCAGGGTTTTGTTTGAAAGTTTAAGGCTTAGAGCGGACTATCTACATCTAGGTTACCAAAACCTCTAGACCTGCAACGATACATCCTAAACCATAAACCCGAACCCTAAAACCTATAGGGCCGGAGACAGTCGAGCTGGTGGTGGTGGTTTTCTCAAGCTCAGATCCCTTGGTACTCCAAGTACTGGTGATAAACATACCTTGCTATATTCGCAGTGTGTGTATTATATACACAGTAACATACATATATAGTCCCGGGTTGAAGACAAACATACACATGTGTGTGTATATATATACATATATATATATATATGTCTGGTGTATGCAAAGTTCAAGCCGATGATTCAGATTTTGTCCATTAGCAGAACTTGCAAACAGTTTGCGGGCGCGGACGGGTCTCCTCTGAGTCACGCAGAGCTGCTGCAGATATGGTGACTGCATACATCCCGATAGTGTCTGGCTGCATTGGATGATCGAAGGGGATGTGAAAAGATCAAGCACTAAGAGATCTCGAATCCGAAAATGCGCTGGGTACACTGTACTTGTTGACAGGCATGGTATTTGTAGCTGTCTTGCATTTTTAGAGCTTGGTTCAAGATTTCGGCGAACCTTTGACACTCCGCACCTGGAGCTGGATTCGTCGGCTTCTCGCAGACACAGATTACGTCCTTCAAATCCGTGCTATTGCAGAAGACCTCCAGCAGTGGCTAGGGTCTACAGGGAGTCCTTGTCAGACGAATCTGATCTTACAGACATAGATGTGTGACCTTGAACAGGCCATTTTGGTGGGAGCTGCTGAGAAGCTTGGAGACATGAACTGTGCGACCGCTACCGGGCCATATCCGAGATACCCAATCCAACAGGGTCCAGATATACTGCCATTCTGGATTTTTGGTCCTCAAAACCATCGTAGCGATGGTCATTGGGGACCAAGTTCCTCTGAGGCTTGGTCGCAAACATCAGTTCCCCTAAAGATTCACCCGATTCACAGGAGCCAATTAGTAGCAACAGTTCATCGGAAACACGAAATCCATGCAAAGAGAGACCACATTAGAGAGCACAGGAGTTCCAATCGGACTTTCACCGGTCCTCTACGCTGCACTAGGGATAGTCAACCGTGCACCATTGGCCGTACGTAGACATGCCAAGGCGACCCCTGAAAAAACTGAACTCGAGATGCATAGAGCAGCATGGCCTTCTGTGAAAAAGAGATGAGGTTTTCCTAAAACCGTAAGCCCTAAATCCTAAACCCGAAGCCCTAAACCCTAAACGACCTGGAGTTGTACCCAAGGATCCAGTCGGTTGAAAGGCCCCCTCAGGGCGTACAGGCGGTTTAGGGTTTAGGGTTTAGGAGACAGTTGAAGAACACACGTACTCCAATACATGATACCCTGAACCTAAAGCCTAAACCCAATGTACTTTGTGTGGGAGCCTAGGTCGAGGGGCCAACTGTCGGCGAGAACTCACTATTCGATTGCCCGGCGACGCCGTCCGGTATGTCTTCAAGCGTTGCCATCACGTGATCCTGGCAGCACACCCTTAAACCCAAACCCGCCTACACCTGCAACCCACAGATTCGCACCTTCTCAATCAAGGGTTGGCTCCATGTGGGTAACTGTGAAAATCACGGTGCCTTTAACAAACCCGAACCCAACATAGACCCTAGTTTTGACAACAACCCATGGAGAACTAACCACCCTACAAGTACAACCTACATCCAACAGCATACGTCGTGTTTTGCTGGAACTCTACAGGCACTCCTGTGTCCTGCATGGGTCAAAATGGACATCTCAAAATGTTCACGTTCGCCCAGATCATGTCCCCGTCTGCTGCAACACAGCCGAACCCACGAATAGAAAACAACAACAAGTATCCGCAATGGATGCCTTATGGTTCGTCTTAACAGATGTAGGACAGTTGGGGAGAAACTGTTCTGTTGCCAACGCAGATGCGTTTCCAAACTCCCGGCTGCTGATGTGCGCTTCATGGTCTGTCCGTCTGCCTCTTGATTCCCGAATCTGGCTATAGAGTCTGTAGGGCTTTAGGGTTATGGAGTCTATAGGGCTTTAGGTTTATGGGGTCTATACAGCTTTAGGGTCGTAGGGTTTAGGGACTCAGGGTTCAGGCCAGGCATTTTTAAACAAAAACACAGGCAGTTTCCCCCCTAAACCCTAAACCCTAATCCCTAAACTAAACCCTAAACTCTAAACCCTATAAACTCTAAACCCTAAACCCTAAACCGTCCATCTCTTCGACGTTACCTCGGCCTCCGTGCCGAAACCCTCGCCTCAACAGTCTGGCAGTGTGCAAGCGCACCCTTGCCATTCTAGTTACTGTTTAAGGTTTAGGCTTGGGGTTTAGGGTTTAGGGCTTAGGATCTATAGGGTTTAGGGCTTAGAATTTAGGGATCGTTGCAATTCTACGTTTGGGTTTGGCTATTCTGGTGTTTGAGGGTTCAGACGCTGTGCAGCAAGTCAGTAAGTCTGTATGGCATCAGCGGCCCAAGTGCACCTTTCCAACAGTAACAACGCCAAACCCCGAACACCTGCGTCTCAAATCGCGCCAAGTCTCGTAGTCGCAGTTTCCGTATTTGGTGCCCGGCACGGTGGCAACACAGGTGGCTTGCCTGGCGTCGCGCACAGCTGTGGATATCCGGATTCAAACTTAGGACCGCAATTGGCCCTACGAGTATATACTATAACCTTAACCATGCCTTAAACTACCATCACCTACTTGTTTACCCAAAACCCTAAACCCAAAACCCTACACCCCAAACCTCTAGGGTTTCGGGTTTGGGGCGGGGCTTGGCCTGGACAGGTGTCTTTGCATGGGATCCCGAGCTCTAGGGCTGTGGTTTAGGGCTTAGGGTGCAATATAGGGTCCCCTTAAAGGAAATACTATACGGGCTACTATAAGGGTTCCATGATATGGGGGCCTCAATCTTTATTTCGGCCCCTATATTAAGGTGTGGGGTCTAGGCAGGAAATTGCTTCGAGCCGTATGGGGGTTAGCGTAGTTCGCACCAACTCAGTCAGGTGAGCCCTAAACACACAAATCCTGGAACCTGGAAGCACAATGTCGAATCCAGAACCTTTACCTTTCCATACTACCTGATCGGCAGAACAGTGACAGCGCATAGCCAGGAAACCAGTGTTCCGAACGCAAATCTACTCCGCAACTAGATGCCTCGGCTGCAACGAAAACGACAAGATCTGATACCTATGAATACTGTATTCGCCATTGTGACGCCCCTCCGGGACGCCTTTCACATGTACGGGACGCCTTAGGTCATGCACCCAGTAGATATTTGAAGTTGGGGTGCGGGGATTAGGGAATAGTGCCCGGTCTGAAGGGTGCGAGGACCAGGTATGAGATTTGGGAAACCCAGAGACTCCAATACCCCTTAATTATAAGGAATATACCTTAAATCTTATTAGGGATCCTACTATAATTTAAGGTATATTCCTTAATTAAGGGGTATTGGAGTCTCTGGGAAAGTCTGAAACACTGGCTTGAAACATGAAGTCCTATAAACCTCCCCTTTTCCTGACCAACACAACTTCAGACCAACTCCCCCACGACTTGGGTTTGGGGTTTGACACTTCACTGGTTTCTGTTCTTCTTTCCGACCCAGATCCCTCAAAACCCTCAGCCAAAAACGTAATCCCTAAACCCCAGCCCCTACACAGGAAAATGCAGACCTCTGAAACAGGGCTGGCACTCCAAAGGTACCAGTTTAGGGTTTCGGGCTTGCGGTCTAGTTAGAGCTTTGGGTTTCGGCTCCCCAAACCTAAACCCCGAAGTCCCTAAACTGCTAAACACGAAGCCCTTAACCCCCAAACCCTAAACCCCTAAACCCCCAAACCCTAAACCCCAACCCCTGAACCCCAACCCCTAAACCCCTAAACCCTCAACCCAGAAGAGCCTTGCACCGCAGTAGTCACTGCAGGACGTCTCGCTCATCTCCACATACGCGAGACCTGAGAAGCCCGGGACAAGAAACCGATCTTCACTTTCCATCTGATGGTCTAGGCTTCTTAAAAGGTTGTTGTAGGGGTTCCTGTGAAGGATCTAGCTGGGTTACATAGAACATGGTTGAAGGGTTTAGGGTGTTAGGGCTTGAGATAAAACATACTTTGGCCTTAAAGTACTCCCTGTTTAGGCACTTTTGGGCCAAAGTTTGTACTATCGACTCTTAGGGTAAGGAGTCCATCAGCCGTTTTGATGTTTCTACAAGGAGCCGCGGTACTCAAAGAGCATGTAGTATTGGATCGACGAAGAAAATCCCCTTCACTACCAAAGGGACTTCGGTCGCCACAAGCCGGTATTGAGCCGTTCACCAACGCCCGTTAGCGTGCATCCCCCTAAGGCTCATGTACCTATACAGTATATACGTAGGCCTTAAAGTACCTATATAGGAACACCTTTAAGGCCTAAGTACATATATATATATATATATATGTATATGTATACATATGCAAATGCATATATATATATATATATAATTGTACAGACTTCATGGGTACATGTAGCCGATGGATTCATGGTTTTAGGGCGTTATGTTTAGGTCATCTTTACTTTCGAAGTCCCGCTCTACAGCTTCATGCCTGGTGGAAAGCGCCTCAAGTGTCGTGTAGCATTACTTGGAGGCTCATGGGTGGTTCCAAGCAGCCGTATAAGTGGGGTGCCTATAATTATAACCTATATTATATAGGGGACTTATAACTCCACTTATAGCTACCCATGAACCTCCAAGTACCCCGAGGCTCCTGAGAGGGTCGGTTTCGGAGGTCTGGGCGAGGTATCGGATCCCGCTGGGAGGGTTGAGAGCGTCAAGGTAGAAAGTACCCAAGCCCTAAACCCTAAACACCCTAAAACCCTATAATGCGTTTTGCAGCAAACTTAGCAGGAAATAACAGAGCGCCTGAGAAGAAGGCCTTGCAAACCAACGATGTAAATGACCGAAGCTAGACGTGAGCAAAGCAAACCATTCATACGGCTGATGATATAAATCCTGCACTAGGGTTTAGGGTTTAGGGGTTCAGGGTTTAGGGTTTTCCTGCATTGCCCATAACAAGGAATATGCCACAATTCCCATAGTTTGGGATCCCTTGAAGTAATGCAGGATTTTTATCATCAACAATATTCATGTGGTTCTGGGGCACTTTGCTAAACTAAATAAACCCTAAACCCTAAACCATCCTCAACCCGAAACCCCTAAACGCCCAAAGCCTAAACCTAGACCCTGTTAATGTGCGATGACCCGTGGATGGCCGCAGGAAAATGATCGACTTCTTCGGTAACGTCAATGTCAACTGTGTGAACCCTGAGTTATTCATGCTCTAGGGTTTAGGAGGTTCGGGTTTGGCGGTTAAGGTTTTAAAGGGTTTGGGGTTTAGGGCTTTGCGGTTTTGGGGTTTGGCGCTTAAGGGTTCAGGTTTAGCGCCGGCAGCGCAAAACCACCCTGCAGCCGTGATGCAATTCTTTCCGCCCTGCCTAGCCTCCGAGCACGCCGCCGGTTTGTCGTTTCTTTTGTAGGGAGATGGGAATTTCGGATGTTAATCGACGTTGCTTCCGCGTCTGTGTGTGTGTGTGTCCCTATGCGCGTGCCTGCTTACATCACATAACATTGGAGCCTTAATAAATAGAATAGAGTTTTGGGACCCATTTTACAATAGTTATAACAAGGACCCACCCCCCCAGAAAAACGTTAAGGTAATTGTTTAGGCCGCTACATTCAGTCTAACTCAACCCCGAAACCCTCCAGACCCCAACCCCTAAACCCTAAATCCCTAAACCCCAAACCCTACATCCTAAAACCTAAACCCTGAACCCCCAAACCCATAAAGCTTCAAAGAAAAGCTGTACCCAAGACGCTAGGTCGACCACCCCTCGGCCCCCAGACATAAGATCGTAATGTAGGGGCCTTAATAACCCATTCGGGATACTCTAAGGGTTATACTATAGGGGTTCTATAATGTAGGGGCCTTAGTAATTTTAATAAGACTTTGGGCTTCTGTATCGTATAGTAACAATAGGGAACTAAGGAACATTATTGGTAGTTTAGGGTTTAGGGTTTAGGGTTTATTTAAGCTGCTGTGTTACATGGTATGGTCTGTTCGCCCGAAAAGGAGTCGCAGGTTTGGGAATTCTGGCTTAGAGACCTGCGCTACGAGAAGCATGGGGGCTCGACCGCCCCGTATGCTAACAACTCGAAAGCTTAGGGTCTAATTAGTGTTTAGGGCTTGGAGGTTCATGAGCAATTATAAGTGGAGTTATATAAGGCCCCAAGTAAAGGCTATAACGATAGTTACCCTACTGATAGCCCTACATATATCTACCCATGAACCCCAAGTAGGGTTTAGGTTTGGCGTGCTTACTAAGTCCCCTGATCCTGCAAGAAATCGCTCATTCCAGGCTGGGCCAGGATGAAGGTCCAGGTTGGTGTACAAACAAGGTGGCTACCCTAAGGCTCATCGACCCCCACAGTGAAAGCCCAAACCTTAGCCCCCAAAGCCCAAACCTTCCCCTAGAAAGCCCATAATATCAAAAAGAGCCTTAGGGTAGGGTTTAGAGTTTAGGGTTTAGGGTTGAGGGTTTAGGGTTGTGTACAACTTGCAAGAGGATTCTGTCTGCACGTCTAGTTAACTCAACTGTAAGCTCCCCATCATGACAATAGTCAAAAGTTTTAACTAGCGGTCGTAAGTATAGAAATAAGGTTATATTCGGCTGTTATGTGAGAGCCGGGGGAGGTTTAGGCCTTTCGATTTAGAAGACCCGGTATATTCTCTAGTGTCTACATGCCACCGCTTTTATAAGCCCCTGGAAGCGTGCCTCATCAAAAAGGGGAGTCGAAAAAGCGCAGTCCTGTTAGAAAAGCATTGAGGACTGTTGCGACTGAAGTTCAGCCTAGGGTGCCTGCGGGCCTGTGGGCCTAAAGGAGTTCCGTTCTCGGCCTAACCCCTAACCCTTAACGCCTAAACCCGCTAAACTCTAAACCCCTAAACCCCTAAACCCTAAAACCCCGAAACCCTAAACCCCTACACCCTTAAACCCCCAAACCCCACTTTTTTGTAGGTTCCTATTATAAACCCTAATATGGGATTTATAGGGACCCTACAAAACAAAGGTAGGTTTTGGGTTCTTAAGGTAAAGTTTAACCCCGAGCTTCTGCATCCTCTCCCGGGCGCCTATGTCGAACTCAAGGGTTGGTTATCTCGGGGGCATATGGGTTTAGGGCTCAGGGCTTAGGGTTTAGGGTTTAGGGCTTAGGGGTGGTTGGTATTTCGGGGGCATATGGGCTTCCCAGAATACATCGCCCTACTGTTGATTACGGTTTAGGGTTTAGGGCTTAGGGTTCAGGGTTTAGGGTTTAGGGTTTAGGGAATACGCCGCCCTACTGTTGATGATACATGTATGTGTATATATATATATATATATCCTGCATTACCTGAAGGGCCCAAAATAATGGGAATTATGGTACTATCCCTTATATTGGGTGATGCAGGATTTATGTCATCAGCCGTAGCAGATGCTTTCGGGGCAGTGTCAGAGACGACTCATACGGCTGATGGACAAAATCCTGCATGACCTTATATACCTAAACTATGGGATTTATGGTACTACTGTTGATGGACAAAATCCTGCATTACCCATTATAAGGAATATACCATAATTCCCATAGTTTAAGGTCCTTAAGGTCATGCAGGATTTTGTCCATCAACAGTATTCTATTTGGGTAATGCAGAATTTTGTCCATCAGCCCTAAACCCTAAACCCTAAACCCTAAACCCTAAACCAGTACCTCTTAGGATCTCGGCTCTTGTGGTCCTTCACAGCCTGAAGCTGGGAGTTATTCGGATTGTAGTTGCTTGAGACTCTAAGACTCCGATAGTAAGCCCCAAATTAGGGTTTTGTTTTTAAGTTAGGGTTTAGGGTTTAGGGTTTAGGATTTAGGATTTAGGGTTCAGGGTTTAGGGTGTATATTCCTGGATGCTGATGCAAAATCCTTCCATGAGCCGACAGTGTCGACTATGATGAGGCTTCGAGCATTCCCCACTCAGGGTTTCCCGAAAACAAGCTAGAGAATCTCTGCATAACAACCAACACACAGAGAAAGGCACACGTAATGATTTACAGGTATATGTGTTCCTAGTTTTCATTAAGCATGTACATATATATATATACATATATATACATATATGTTGCAAGTATATGTGTATAGTATCTTTAAGAATTGTGGAGTAAGCCTTCTTGCTAGACAAAGGTTTACCTAGCAGTCCTATCAGATAGGGTTTCCCTGCTATATAGACAGTTTTCTGTTGTCAGATAAGGCCCACCGGCTAGACAATGGTAGCCGATAAGATTGAATCATTAGACAATGGTTTCCCAGCAGGTTGTTTACAGATTACATATATATATATATACACACACTTACATATGCAATGATGTGCATTACCATACTCGAAACGGTCACCAACCAACTATCTTTATCATGGTCGTATCAAATCTGGGCCCTCTTGGAGGGTCAGTAGACAATGTGCCGCCCCTGTATGATTCAGCCACGATGAAAGTCGCGACAGTGGTGCAAGAGACCCACCCTAAACCCTAAACCCTAAACCCTAAACCCTAAACCCTAAACTCTAAACCCTAAACCCTAAACCCTAAAACCCTAAACCCACGACATCGTCCTGCATGTTGAGCTCCTCTTTTGGCAACGGCTGCATAAACCTCAGAGATGCAAATACATCAGCAGAACCCTAAGCACAAATGAGAGCCTGCTAGGCATTAGGGGTTCAGGGTTTCGGGCTTAGGGGTTTGCATGATCTCCTGTCAACAGTTGTATCACTATAAGAGCACATGTACCCGGGCTGGTCGAAACTCAAAAGCACGGCCCAGCGTAATCGCGGGTGGCGCTCGGGCTTTAAGTTCGGGTTTACATAGTCCCTAAACCCTAAACCCTAAACCCCCCTTTACGACGCAGCTTCAATCAAACCTGTCTTGCACACCCGACGCCGACTAGGATCAGTGTTTGGGGTTTAGGTGCAGGTTACCGCGGTGGGTTTCCGTACCCCTTCACCCAAAGGCTGGGAACAAGCTCGACATGCCTCCGGCACATGCGTCCCAGGGACTCCAATATCCCTTAATTAAGGAATATACCTTATATCAAATTTCGGGATCCTACTCTAATTTAAGGGATATTGGAGTCTCTGGGTTTATTGCCGTGTCACTCGCATTCCGGAGACATCGTCGCCATTCCCGTAGAGATCGGACCTTGGTGGAGCGCAGGCTTTTGGAGAAACGAAGTCATCCCGAAATTCTGGGCTCACGTGAGGCCTAGATAACTCGATAGAGTAGGCTTCTCCTGGCCAGAATGATCATGCTCAACCCTAAAGCTCTAAAACCCTAAACCCTAAACTCCAAAATCCTGAAACACAGCATATAAACCCTGTCGAATCGTCGATCCTTAGACGGAGCCCACTAAGGACCCCATAAACCCCGAAACCCAACCCCCTAAACCCCTACACCCTAAACCCTCAGAAACTCTATACCCTCATAGACCCTAAACCCTAAACCCTAAACCCCTACACCCTAAACCCTCATAAACCCTAAACTCTCATAGACCCTAAACCCTAAACCCTAAACCCCTACACCCTAAACCCGGATAAACCCTAAACCCCTACACCCTAAACCCTCATAAAACCGAAACCCTAAAACCCTAAACCCTCATAAACCCTAAACCCCTAAACCCCTGAACCCTAAACCCCAGATCCTAAACCCTCATAGAGCGTAAACCCTCATAAACCTGAAGCCCTAAAACCCTAAACCCTCATAAACCCTAAACCCTCATAGACCCTAAACCCCATGAACAACGAACCCTGAGTTCGGAAACGCTGAGTTCCTCAACCCCATCTACGATTCGCGCTTTTGTGGGGTTTAGGGTTCAGGGGTTTAGGGTAGGGGTTCAGGGGTTCAGGGGTTCAGGGTTTAGGGGTTCAGGGGTTTGGGGTGTAGGGGTTCAGGGGTT